AATCTATCAATATTTTTAAGCTGTTAATTGTGACATTTTAATTATTTGTGCTAATTATGTTAATTATTATTGATTATGAGTAATAATGTACACCTACTGTATATATCATAATGACACACGCTTTAGTTATTCAGTCCATCATTTTTAGTGTTTCACATTTTAATTATTAGTGCTAATTATGCTAATTATTACTGATTATGAGTAATAATATACCTATACATAAAAATGACATGTGCTTAAATTAATAAGTCCATCATTTTTAGTGTTTATTAACATTTTAATTATTAGTGCTAATTATGTTATTTATTACTGATTATGATGAGTAATAATCATAATGTATACCTATAATCATAATGACACGCGCTTCAATTAATCAATCCATCATTTTTAGTGTTTATTAACATTGTAATTATTAGTGTTAATCATGTTAATTTTTATTGCTGATTATGAGTAATACAATTGTGTACAAAATACAATATAATTATTTTGATACATAATATTTTGGAATTTAAATTTCAAGATGTAACTCTTTGAATATAAATTATGTTCTATCTGGCAAATTTGTGTAATTTACCCATATATGGGCATGGTGACATCATTGTACCCAAATATGGGCATATCACATTTATTTGTCAAATAAAATTTCATTGTGTAGATAGAGCATTAATTATCATTAATTTTGTTTTAATAAGAATAGATTTAAACTGTTCTAATAAATCCTCGGTTCTTGACTATTTTTCAAAGTATTTCATTGAAGCTTGTCTTTTATTAGATTGGTTTTCTGTTTTTGTTGATAATAATTTGCCTCATTTTGATGAAAAGTCATTTAATCTATTTTCTCTTGTTGTTTGAATCTAGTTATTGAATCTGTTTCCAGAGCAAGCTGGCGAACATAAATCAATGATGCCGTACCTTGGAGGTAGGATCAATTGCATTGTGTGTGAAATTGTTGTGCTTGATTATTTGCAGTGTGTGACGCACTTTATCAGACGTAGCGGATGTGTATTTAAGCAACACATCAGGTGTACATGTAGCATGAGATGTGTACATGTAGCATGAGATGTGTACATGTAGCATGAGATGTGTGCTGCACTACATCAGATGAGTAGATGTACTGCAACACATCAGATTTGTACATTTACTGCATCACATTGCTACATGTGTACATACAGTATTGTACCACATTAGATGTGTACAAGCAATGCATTAGGTGTACATGTAGCATATGAAATATGTACATGTACTGCACTACATCAGATGAGCAGATGTACTGCAACACATCAGATGTTTACAGCTACTGCATCACATTGTTACATGTGTACATGTACAATAATGCGCCACATCAGATGTGTACAAGCAATGCATTAGGTGTATATGTAGCATATGAAATGTGTACATGTACTGCATTACATCAGATGAGCAGATATACTGCAACACATCAGATGTTTACAGCTACTGCATCACATTGTTATATGTGTACATGTACAATACAGCGCCTCATCAGATGTGTACAAGCAATGCATTAGGTGTATATGTAGCATATGAAATGTGTACATGCACTGCACTACATCAGATGAGCAGATGTACTGCAACACATCAGATGTTTACAGCTACTGCATCACATTGTTATATGTGTACATGTACAATACTGTAACACATCAATTGTTTACAAGTAATGAATTAGGTATACATGTAGCATATGAAATGTGTACATGCACTGCACTACATCAGATGAGTAGATATACTCTATTGCAACACATCAGATGTTTATAGCTACTGCATCACATTGTTATATGTGTACATGTACAATAGTGTAACACATCAAATGTGTACAAGTAATGCATTAGGTATACATGTAGCATATGAAATGTGTACATGCACTGCACTACATCAGATGAGTAGATATACTGCAACACATCAGATGTTTACAGCTACTGCATCACACTGTTACATGTGTACATGTACAATACAGCGCCACATCAGATGTGTACAAGCAATGCATTAGGTGTACGGTACATGTAGCATATGAGATGTGTACGTGCACTGCACTACATCAGATGAGTAGATGTACTGCAACACATTAGATGTGTAAGTACTGGATCACATTGTTATATGTGTGTATGTACCGTACCACATCAGCTGTGTATGCATACAACATCAGATGTGGACACATACAACATCAGATATTTTGACTTACCACATCAGGTGTGTACAGTACACAAACGTGTACAGGTACACACACATGTACCACCACATCAGATATGTGCACACCACTTTGGATGTGTACACATACAACATGAGATATTTTGACTTATAGCATCAAGTGTGTACTGTACACATACCATATCAGGTATTTACATGTAAATTTCAGATATGTACACGCACTACGTCAGTGAGTGTACACGCACCACAGATGTAACACGCACCACACCAAATGTGTAACATGTACAGTACCACACATGTTTTACTTGCTATACAACACATTACGTGTGTACATACACCATAGCAAATTATCTGGACTGCATCAGACCATAACCTATAATAACATAATGATTGTACTTCATTAACAAGATTATTCCAAATTATATCAGATACAGGTTGCATTTCTCTAGTGATTTATTAGCCTTTATTTATGTTCGACCATACCTCAGGTTTTCTAATTATAGAACATTTTATGGCCAGTTCATGATGTATTTCAATCATTAAATGTAACAGGCGGTTTAGTTTACTACACATACTTTTTCCTGAGATACTACTTGCTGCTCTGTACAGTATGATCGGTATCATCATCATCATCATCGTCATAATCATCACATCACCATCATCATCATCACATCATCATAATCATCATTACCATAATCATTAATGGCTTCAGCTTGAGTTCATTATAATTCTTCACATGGATAACTGTGATATCGCATATAAGGATGTAGTTATGGTGGGCGGGGCCACCTAGCTTTGAAGCTTTCCACCCAGTCTAAAGCTAATTTCATGGGCCTTAACCCACCTTTATTAATCCCATTATTAAAATCTACTCTTATTATTTAGGGTTTAACAATGTTATCACCTACCCATTTAAAATGTCTACCATTCACCCTTAGTTTTCTACATTTGCAACCCTGCACATATTAGAGATAGGAACTTAATTTCTTTTTTGCATTTACTTTGATTTGTGTCTCAGTCATGAATAAGTAATTTGTTTTCTTCTGTATTTGATGCCAAATGGTGTGGTAATATTTCTTGACTTCTTGACATTTATTTATATCCGTCTTTTTCTTGTAATTACTTGATCCATTTGTTTAATTTGAAATAACCAGGTGAATGCTTAACACCAGAACAGCATTTTGCTTTTTTATCGCTTGCTTTCATTCGGTTTAACTTGATCCTTTTATCATCAAGTTTGTGTTAGCTTAATAGAAAGCATTTCCTTTATCATATTCAATTATAGTATATCTATAAACATAATTAGTTTATTTTGTTTGCGGAGAGTATTGTTTAAAATTTCAGTTTTTAAATTGTTTGGGTTTTACAGATTGTTATTCTCATAAACATAAACAGCAGTATAATTAGTTATAGATTTGGCTTAGGACTAAGTTAGATTTATTAAAAATTAGTCAAAAACATATTTTTATAACAAATATTTAGGGTAAACTAAACCATTGATCAATATATATAATTACTTAATATTTTAAATAATTTTTCATTCAAAGAAGATAATAAACATTCACATGGAAAGAAAGAGAGCATTTATCTTAAAAGAATAATCTTGCTATATACACTGTATTAAAATGACAATGTTTTTGTTTTTAAATAGAAATAGTAGTAATATAATTTTATACTCTTTTGGTTTAGTAGTAGGTGTTTGTTTACTAAGTAGTCTTGACCTTGTGGCAAAGAATGCTTCTAGAAACATTAACCTTGTGAATTCACCCAGCATGCCCCCTCTGAAGTAGTATTGACACACTGGTGTCAACAACTAATATGTTCCAATAAAATTATGACCTCAATCCCCAAATATGTCTCTACTCAGGGAGTCTTACAAATTTGCTAGACAATTGACACCATTCAGTTCATGTTATTAGTTGACTGTACACATTAAGTTTTCTATAGTACATAATAATGTTTAAGTTTATTCTCAGCGATTCTAGGTGACCTTTTGTTTATAATGTGTTAAATCTATATCTTATTGTGTAGTACATAAATCTTCAGTTACCTTTTTTTTTTGGTTGGCTAGTGAACTTGATCGAGAAGTGCTCTTATGCAATATTACAGCCAATCACAAGATAGAAAGCTCAGCCTGATTATATTTCTATAATTTCTTTATCCTACTATAGACTTCATAATCTTTACAGGAATTGAGATTTTTTTTTGTAATTGTAATTTAAATTTTTTTTGGTGTCATTTTCATCTTTGTAAATTTTTAGGTAAGCGTATCTCAAGTACAGCACACAAAGGAGAGCTGGCAGAGAAAACGCTGCCAGACATCGAGGAGTATGTGAGGTAAAGTGGTAAAATTACATTCACTTAATTCCAACAGTGGATTTATAAACAAAGTACAATTAAACTAAAAAATATAACTAATTATCAAGCATAACTAAATACATTAAGGCCTATGATTGCCCAGAGCAAGCCTAATCACTAATTGGAAAATGATTATTGTGAAAAAAAGAATGCGGTAAATCATCAACATTTGAGTAAATATTTTTTGTGTTCCACCATTATTAACACGACAGTAATATTTCATGCCTAGTTTAGTGCATACTAAGTATAGATAATATTAAATTAGATATGGGTTATTAACCCTTCCCTAGTGATACATTAAAATGTTATATCACTTAATGCTTCAGCCAAATATTACCTTACGAGTCAAAATGTCTCCTAAAACTTATACTATCATTTTAAATTACCAGTGTCTGAAAGTTCCAAATCAATCAGTCTGTCTACGCAGACATAAATACATTGTCAGCCATCAGCCATGCTTACATTAAGAATTATGTTTAATTTTTAGGGCTAGATTTCATTTTGAACACTGTTGTTTATCTCATCTGTCAAGTACTTACAGATCTCAACAATATGCGCATTTGTAATCTAATTTATTGAAAATCTGTAAGTGTATTTCAATTGCAGTCTAGACAACCAAGTTTTTGGTCTGAAAAAAAAGTCATTTACATAAAATAGTGATATATTAAATAATTATTTTAAGCCCACCATTATTTTTGTGACTTTTGTCTCTTTTCTTTCAGACAACTCAGTACTCTTCCACAACACATTTTACAATGTCAACATGTGGTGTCATTCTTCAGCCCATCCAGTGCCCCTACCCCAGGGAGTCAACCAGTACTGCCAGGCGTAATCCCCGATGAGGCGCTCATATTACCAGATACAAACACTCCAGCTAGTAAGTACCGTAGCTACTCAAGTATAAACTCAGGGCTCCCTGTCCCCTGAAAATAAAATCTGATCAAATTTGTGGGAGATGGGGATGGTTGAACTTGAACCGAGGGCAGAAAGTGCATATACTAGGGAGCTTTGGATTTGTGCGACAACGCGACGCTAGAACGGAATCACTCACACGTGACTGTCCTACCTGGCGTTCTACATTCTCTGCATACATAGATTTGGCCAAATTGCGTTCCAGAATCTATTCGGCGAGGTGACTCTAACGTTCTTGCATGTGCAGATGATTTTGAGTGACGTTGTTACGTTCTACGTCCTACCGTCGTCGTGCAATCGAAAGCTCCCTAATAATGCTCCAGCAATAGGGAGGGAGCGAGAATTTGTTCAGATTGAATTTTTGCCTAGCTTTACGAATGTCATGTTTACTTACAGTGCTGTACTACTGTAAACATTGCCCGCAGTGTGTCGCAAAAACATAGATAAGGAAAGGTAGTATTGTCGCAATGTAAAAAAAAAACAGTCAAATTTTGTTATGATATCCAAGTATATAACATGGGTTTTACAAAAAGAACATAATTTTTTGGGAATTTAACTGCCCTGTTGTTTGAAACTAAACAGTGGATCCTCTGATTTTCATATATTACATCTTCTTCGAATTTGTTAAAATTAAAAAATATTCATTAATTGATTTCACAAAAAAAAACCAGCCTGTTAAATGTAAACAACGTCAAGCAGAATTGACAGTGCTACAGGTAGCATTCTTACTGTTTTACATATGTGTTACCTGACAGTAAAGGATGCTTACTACCAATAGATTTTCTTATTATAATTTTAGTATTGATTACATTTCAGGTTAAAAAGCCTGCAACTAAATCCCAGTAGCGACCTACTGTTTAGTTGATGCACTTCTTTTAAAGATATTCTTATCTACAGTATATCTCTCACATTACACATTATGTATGAAAGTAAGAAGCCAGGGCAGACATCCAGTGGTGAAACCAGGACTTGAGTTAGGGTGAGACGCCAATAGGAAGCCTTAGATTTGAAAAGACGTAGAACATTTATGATGTCACTTTATGATGTCACATTAATTTCACTGCACATGTCTAAACATTTTGCGCTACGTTTTCTTTTGAAATTTGGAACAGTTGTCGGCAAAATTTGCGTTCAGGCCTGAACGAGGACTGTACTGTATTAAACATTGGTGCGTCAGTCTTTCATGTTTGTGACATATCCGCTTACATGCCATAAAAAATCAAAATTGATTTAAAGTAAAATGATGGACACACGCGACAACATCCATGCATGAATGAATTCTTAATCGAAAGCATTCTATTGTCCTTGACACCGGCCCTGGTTCCCAGCCTATCCCCCATTGGTTCTACCACTTCAGACATCTCTCTAAAACATTTGACTTTACCCACAATATATGGCTTTCTCACAAACTCATAGGCCCGCAGTTGATTCCTTTTATGTCTTCGATTGGTTGAGATATAGTTATGTGCTTCTATAAAATTTATTGTCATTTTTTCAAACTTGTTTCAGATGTAGATTATAAGCAGCAGGTAGTGTGTGACCAGCTACATAGCGGCACACTTGATCATGTAGCTAATGATCTCAATGAACCGGCTGAATGTTTACGGTCCAATGACCAACCAAATGAGGATTACGCCCCAGACGCTTGCCAATTCGCTACCCCACCAGCTTGCCACAAAGATTCGGACGTCAATGTAGAACTTGCTCCTGGTTATCACATACCCAACGATACATTGGTGACGTCCATAGAAAATAGTAGCAAGATGGTGTACTCAACTACAGTGACATCGCCGTCGATACACGCCACCAACATCCCCGCCAATCCACATCACATTCAACCAATTTGCCCACAGGGTAGTTACGACAACCAAAGAGTACAGAATAGGCGAGGTAGATATAATCCTAATGTACATCTTCATATACACTGGACAATGATGGCATTGTTTCGTAAAATATTTTTCTGACAAATAAATACACTAATTACTGCTGTATGCCCTTATATGGTCATGATGTGCCTATATATGGTCGTGATGTGATGTCATCATGACGATAATTAGGCATGTCACATGTTTTTGTCAAATAAAATTTGGTAGCCTAGACAGGGATTATATTATGGTCCTGATGACATCACATCATGACCATATATAGGCACATTATGACTATATATGGGCATACAACAGTTTCTACAACAGGACAGAGCATATACCCTCAATAACAGTTTGATCAAACACCTTCTACTGAAACGTACAGACAAACAAATGTATGACTGCTTAACCCTACATTAGAAATATCAAAAGTCTGATGGAAGGCTTACATGGATTTAGTATTCAATTTTCATTGCCATAAATGATAGCAAAGATTAGAATTGCATTATTGAGATTTTATTTATGAAGGGCACTTATGAGATTATGCAAATATTGTATTGTGTAGGTAATGAAAGCTTTTAGAATCGTTATGATGTTATATGAAACTGGTGATTATATTATTATTGAACTAGTTGACACAGGACTCCTCTTTATCTAAATAGAATTCTTTCATCTCAAATTGCTGCTTCATATTTAATCTCTGGCTTATGACCACCCAAGTTACTAATGTTTATCGGAAATGGTTTATGAAATTTTACTAACATAGGTAGTTTATATCAAGGCTATTAATAATGTCTGCAGTATGCCTACACTACTTTTACTACTATTTTTAACCACCTTAGTTGATTATGTTTAGGATATTAGCAACTTTAATAGCTAGTCAATAATATTGTGTTTCTTTACTTATAACCATCTAAAGTTGTTAGATGTTAGGATTTTATACATATTTTAATAAGTCATCAATAAATGTGTTAGTTATTTTATGCCAAGCTGTTTATTTTCATGCCTTGAAGACATATAAAGCTCTGTCTACACTATCAAATTCTGTGTGACAAAAAAGTGTGATATGCCCATATATAGGCATGATGACATCACACCATGACCATATATAGGCATAGCATTACCATATATGGGCATGTCAATTTTTTTTGTCACAGAAAATTTGATAGTGTGGATAGAGCTTTAGGAAGTGCCAGCTCTTTTTAGGAGCTATTTTTAGCTTTTAGATTCATCTATCACTTACAGTAGAATGAAATATTAATAACCATATATTAGTAACCACATACATAATTCATCCAAGGAAGCGATTACTTGATATTTAATTTGTGGTTTAAATGAATGAGATTTAACGCAATACAAAAAGCAGACTGGAAATATTATTAAATAATGATAATAAATATGAAGTATTAATAATAATAATAATAATAATAATAGATGTATCTTGGTGGTTAAGATGCCTGCTTTTCAGTCCCAACAATAAAAACAGCTCCACTCTCTAAACCTCCTAATAAGACTACATTTATGCACCTTAATCGCTTATAGATGTCATATGCACCTAGTAGCATTTTATGGTTCACAAAGCATAAATACACATTTAAAAAGTAAATTAATTTAAAATCTAATTTATTAGTTAATATCTGTCTCTTATACACATCTCATGCTTACATTAAGAATTATGTTTAATTTTTAGGGCTAGATTTCATTTTGAACACTGTTGTTTATCTCATCTGTCAAGTACTTACAGATCTCAACAATATGCGCATTTGTAATCTAATTTATTGAAAATCTGTAAGTGTATTTCAATTGCAGTCTAGACAACCAAGTTTTTGGTCTGAAAAAAAAGTCATTTACATAAAATAGTGATATATTAAATAATTATTTTAAGCCCACCATTATTTTTGTGACTTTTGTCTCTTTTCTTTCAGACAACTCAGTACTCTTCCACAACACATTTTACAATGTCAACATGTGGTGTCATTCTTCAGCCCATCCAGTGCCCCTACCCCAGGGAGTCAACCAGTACTGCCAGGCGTAATCCCCGATGAGGCGCTCATATTACCAGATACAAACACTCCAGCTAGTAAGTACCGTAGCTACTCAAGTATAAACTCAGGGCTCCCTGTCCCCTGAAAATAAAATCTGATCAAATTTGTGGGAGATGGGGATGGTTGAACTTGAACCGAGGGCAGAAAGTGCATATACTAGGGAGCTTTGGATTTGTGCGACAACGCGACGCTAGAACGGAATCACTCACACGTGACTGTCCTACCTGGCGTTCTACATTCTCTGCATACATAGATTTATCTAAATAGAATTCTTTCATCTCAAATTGCTGCTTCATATTTAATCTCTGGCTTATGACCACCCAAGTTACTAATGTTTATCGGAAATGGTTTACTAAATTTTACTAACATAGGTAGTTTATATCAAGGCTATTAATAATGTCTACAATATGCCTACACTACTTTTACTACTATTTTTAACCACCTTAGTTGATTATGTTTAGGATATTAGCAACTTTAATAGGTAGTCAATAATATTGTGTTTCTTTACTTATAACCATCTAAAGTTGTTAGATGTTAGGATTTTATACATATTTTAATAAGTCATCAATAAATGTGTTAGTTATTTTATGCCAAGCTGTTTATTTCCATGCCTTGAAGACATATTAGGAAGTGCCAGCTCTTTTTAGGAGCTATTTTTAGCTTTTAGATTCATCTATCACTTGCAGTAGAATGAAATATTAATAACCATATATTAGTAACCACATACATAATTCATCCAAGGAAGCGATTACTTAATATTTAATTTGTGGTTTAAATAATATATTAATAAAATATTATTAAATAATGATAATAAATATGAAGTATTAATAATAATAATAATAATAATAGATGTATCTTGGTGGTTAAGATGCCTGCTTTTCAGTCCCAACAATAAAAACAGCTCCACTCTCTAAACCTCCTAATAAGACTACATTTATGCACCTAGTAGCATTTTATGGTTCACAAAGCATAAATACACATTTAAAAAGTAAATTAATTTATCTAATTTATTAGTTAATATATCCCAACATTTATATTATTGGCTCATATGCATCTTACATTGGTTGTAATGGTGGTAATGATGATGATGGCGGTATGGTGGGGTAGTGGCAATGATAATAGTAATGGTGGTCATATCAATGAGGGTAACGAAGTTGAATTAATATGAGAACATGTTTTTTTTTCTCCTTCTATTTAGATGGAATAATTGTTACGTCTCCAAGAGTTTTAAATTCCAAGACTCACTCAAGACAAGCATGGTAAGTACACGCCGTCTCATTTATCAATCTGTCTTCATTACGATTATAATCAATCTCAACATTATCATCATCATCATTAATATCTTCATTATATCTTCAGAATGCTCATATAATTATCAGCTGACCACCACCACACTCATCGTCAGTGGTAAGCGGATAATTATATGATTGTCGTGATGTAAATAAATAGTGTATTGCTGCATGTTACAGAAATTTGATATTTATATGATTTTCTGTTAATTTTTAGGCCAGCCTACAATCAAGCAATATCGTCTCATGTGCTATATGGCACACAGTTACAAGTGATGCCTTACCCTGCCACTGTAGCGAGCGATATGGTAGCGCCACTCATCCAAGAGTGGCTCAAGAAGCAAAGGCTACACAAGTATAACGCTCTTTTCCAAGGCATGACTGTAGAGCAAGTAAGTACACATTAGAGAGGGCGCTGTTGAAGAAATATGTTAACAATTATGACTATGATATAAAGACAGAGAACCAACCCTCCCCCTCCCCCAACATGTAGTGGCATATGTAGGAGTCATGAAATGGGTGAGACTAATGGGAGGGACGAAGGTGAAGTGGGGAAGGGACTCGACGATTAGGTGACAGGGAGGTAGCTCGCTAATAAGGTGATTTGAGGCAATTTTTAACTAATTGACTGGTTTTTGGGGAGCAAGTGATGCATGAGTACTGTATTTTTTTTGGGGGATCCCCTGTGCCACTATGTTGTATAAGTTTGGCATATAATTTCATATCTGCTACATAATTCAGTAGTTTTTAATATAATTTCTTTATGTTGCAAATAAAATGATACTCATTTTATTGTGTTATAAAGTTGTTTTGTAGTCTTCTTGTTCCAAGAAGTCGCAATCTCAAGTAAAATTGTTTTCCATGAAAAGTATAACTGAGGCAGCAGAAAAAATGAAGTGTGTAGAAAAAAAGATATTTTAATATGGCCTTAGCATTCCATCCATTTATGATTTGTATCCACCTCTTACCTCATATTTCTTAATTTATGTTTAAAATTTTGTTTTTTGTGAACATTAATATGATTTCAATAATATTATAATATTTATAGGTATTGAAGTTAAGTGAACAGGAAATTGATTCGTGGGAAATTGTGACTGGGGCCAAAGGTCGTATCAAGACACAACTAGAACAATTAAGGTAAAGGTGTTCATAATGAAACTGTCTGCTTGTAAATATTTTCAAATAACAGCGAAAGTTAACAAATTATTTTGTATTGAATTAATTGTATCCTCTCAGGAAAAATGGATTTTCGGAACTGAATGGTCTTGCAGCAAGTATGCCTCCGTATTATCCAGTAGCTGGCAGTCCTAATAGGATATATTATGGCCCTGTCAATCATGGACTTTATCATTCAGATAATAGACTACCACCGCATGGACTCTCGTTACCTGTTAGGCATACAAGTGAAACTGCTAGTTCGGATGCGTCAAGTCCTTTGTCTTCAAGTTCAGATGAAAATGAACGGGGTAACAACTGATTTGTTTAACTATATCTTTGGGTCCTTGTATTGGCACCGCAGTCTTATATCTAGGACGAGTGTAATGGGTGCTTAGCCTCCCCCCTCCCCACAAAAAAAAAAAAAAAAAATTGAGTAAAAATATTTTAAGACAGGTGAAAATTTACCCTATGTACAGATTGTTATTTTCTGTAATAAATATTAAAAATAGATTTATTTATTTATTTTATTTATTTGTTATTTATACTGGGTTTCCTCTTCAGTAACAAATTACTGTTCTCAGGGCCCAGTACACATAAAACAGTCCACGACACACAAGACAAACATACACACATGATGCTTTACACAAACTAAATCTCAATATGAGGTTTAGGGAGTGGAGTTGTTTTGGTTGTGAGAAAAAAATCCTGCAACTGACAGGAATTGAACCCATGACCCTGGGATTGGAAGGCAAGCATCTTAACCACCAAGCTATTCAACTCCACTAAATAAATAAAATATAAACTATTTACATTTTAACTAGATATTAATCATTAGGAAAATGTAATTCTGCAATACAGTATTAATATTTTAAGCTTGCATCCTATAAACCAGCACCAGGGAAAAAATGAAAATTAACTTTATAATATATTCTTATTCTCTACATTATAATGATGGGTCAGTTACTAGAATTGACTTACTATTGCCAGAGTTATGAGTTTTAGGGCTTCTCTGTACTGACGTATACAATACTGCTACATTCTTATGCTTATTACTCAGTTTAACAATTAACAACAGTATGCTGGTCTTGAGATACCAAGCCTATAATAATAAAGTAATAGTAATAATAATAAGCTTTATTTTAACACAGAAAAACTTGTTTCAACTAGAGTTGTTGTTCTACAAGTCCGTGTAGGAGAAGCAAAAAAAGTAAACAAATTGAAATAACATACCATTTTGTTAATTGAACAACTTTAAGAAAACCAAAAATACAATTGATACAATTATTCAATATGGAAATGTCGACATTCTGTAACCCAGACCCCCAGCAACTCCACTACTGGTACTTCGCAACCTGGACACTTTGAGATTTGAAATGCCTTGGTTACAAAATGTCCAGATTGCGATGCACCTGCAGTATAGCGTCATGAAACATCCAGGTTTCAAAATTCCTGTCACCCATCTACATAAAAATAATTACAAAAAGGTACTAACAGAAATAAAAAACTAAACTAAAAATCAGAAGCTAATATACAAAAATACAATATCACAAGGATGAACAAAAATTGTGTTTACATGGTAGCAATAAACATTTTTTTAAATAAATTGACATTAATAGCATTTTAGAGGTCTTCACTAATATCATTCCAGATTTTTGCACCCCTATATTATAAGCTTCTTTTCTTATAGTCAGTTCTTGGTTTTGGTAATTTCATTTGACCTACCAGAATTCTAGGTAACCACATGTTGTATTTGGTCCATATTCACCCCAATAGTAATACTGGATACGACCCTGCACCCAATTTAGCTGGTCCCAGCATTGCCCACTCTATTGCTTCTTCATTCATGTATTGATTTCATTCTTTACGTGTATGATTAAGATTTTTTTCTCCTCTCCAGATTCTGAAGGAAGTGAGAATTCAATACCCGAAACCAAGATGGCTTCCAGTAGCGCTACATGTGTCCTTCCTACCAGCAGCAGTAGTAGCAGCAATATAGCAACTCTCCACACACCTGTACTCAATAGCAATTGCGTAGCAGCGGCAAGTCCGCAGCTTAGTCCTGTACACCTATCACAACCCACCTTGAATACTAAACGGACAGATGCTCCGGTTTTTGACGACCACACGGTCAAGCTTAACATGCCCGGTTCACTTCCTCTGATACCCGATGCTTCTTTAGAAATGAACACTGGACAAGGCCAGACATTTAGCAATTTGCCAGAATCTAGAAACAGTGTTGATTGTGCATCCGGAAAACCTAATAAAAACAAATTGCCAGTGTATAGTTCAAGCCTGGAATATCGTTTAAATCCTGCACCGTTGGTTGTGGAACAGCCTGGACAAGACTTACGATATCCATGCTATACGGAAGCAATGAATCGTGGTTGCGTAACAAACTCCAGTCCAGGTAACAGAGTAGATATTACATTTGGTAATGTACCGCTTTCGCTTGCCTCTCCATGTGGACGTACTGGAGAAATGCCGCAGGTAGGCACAGGTATTGTTGGTTCAAAAGTCCCTGTTGAACATACGCCTTACAGTGTTGCTAGGACAATGTATTCGCCTTCCTCGCAAAGTATATACCCATCCAGTAGCCAACATCAGACAAGAGTAAGCTCTGAAACTTATATTGCACCGACCACAGTAACATTTTCAACTACCACTGCGCCTGTACTGGCGCTCGGCAATAACAGCACATACACTAACGAAAGTACTTTGGGAATTACCTACAATAACAATCACACCACGTATGGTACGAACTCATTGCTTGCCTGCACAACGTGTAACTCTAGCATACCGTGCGGTAATGCCCCTCCGCACAGTAATCTACACGTTCCATATAATAGTTACGTACCCCAAGGTGCTATTGCTTATCAGAATTTCAGTAACTATTATCACCAAGGCGGCATTATGCAGCCCAACAGTTTGATCAATCAGGGAATACCGAGCAGTCCACGGTACGCTAACGTTCCTCCACCACCATTCCAAAACAACCTAGCCGGCGAGCTTGCCGCATACGGGAATGGACATTATGGAATTATGCATCAGCATGGTCACATGTATGTAGGCATGGGTATTGGACACAGGCCAGGACCTACGCATCATGGCCATTTAGGAAATCCGGGAATGGTCAGTAAAAAGATGACCTGCTACAACTGCGGCTTGCCGGGTCATAAGGCCACAGAATGTCGAGAACAATGCATGCAGACAATAACTCAACAGAGTAAGTATCGCAATATTTCTGTTTAGTTGATTCAGCAGAGTAAACATTGATGGTGTCACATCTTGCTGGAAGGTAGTTGCTTACTTCCCCCAGAGGTGATTCCCTAGGAGTGCAGGACCAATCGGGAACCTATAGTTTGAATGGGAAGGGCTGGGGATGTTCTCTTCCCTATTATCGTGGTCAGGGCTACACTCCCTGAATGCTTGGGAGCTTCAGCCATTTTAGACTCTACAATGACTGAAATTTCACATTTGAGGGGTTGTTTAGCCTCTGCTAGGTGGGAAAAGTGAGTACCCCTGCCCCACGTCTTTGCCTGTCATATTAATGGATTATCTATTTGACTGCTAGGCTACAACAGCAACAAAAAATCAGAATGATTAAGATATCCTTTGTAGAACACAAATAGGTTTAATTGATAAGGCAGCTATTGAATTGGGGAATAATATGTAAAATCTTTGACTATTATAATAAATATTTGGTTATTTTTAAACATTTTAATGAGGTTATAACCTGAATCAAAATTAACACTGATTTGTACAGGGTTAGTGATTACTATTTGTATCAAAATTACCAACTAATTTCTGATTTTCTCATATATAAAAATCGACTCCCCTCACTCTTCCTTTCCCCAACGCCTGCATCACCTACCTTGTGTTGTCTTTCTAATCTCTATTCTTTCATTTTGTTTTTTTTTTGTTTTGTTTTTTCTGATTTCAGGCCAGTACAACTTGAATTTTAAACCAATTGAACATAGTGAATCAAGCAAAAGCTAGTAGATGTAATAGAGACAGCAAGTAACTGTCTACTCAAAAATACTAATAGAACTTGTGGAGAGAAAAAATGTGGAAGTTAAAATCAAGAGAAGATATTGGTGCTTTGAGGGCAGAAATTTACTATAGTAACAAGATTTTTTTCTGTACTCTGAAAAACGTGAAGTGTCACGCTGTTGAACCCACTTCTTTTTTGGTATGCCTGCCTTAATTGGCATTTATTTTTTTTTTTTTTATCGGAGCATGTAAGCCATTGTATATGGGCCTTAAAAATTTATTGAGATATTTTCAGCATGTTGTGTCTTTAAAAGATGTATATAGTGTTTATATTGTAGAATTAAGTATTTTGAAGAGCCAAAATGTAGCTAAAATGTTTTAACGATGTCATGATATGATAATGAGGAGTTTATATGGCCATTTTACAATACGTTGGAGATTGGAGAGAAAAATTGAAGAACTTAATTTTACTTTTTATTTTTTATTTTATTTTTTTTTTTTGAGTGAAAGATATTTACCAAATATAAATGAGCCAACTGATAGATTATGGTGGTTGTCTGGGTTAATAGGATTTAAATAGTCACTGAGAACTCTACTATTTGGATTCAATGTGGCCACTTGTTGTCAGGGAATGAAATATTCTAAATTATTTGTTTTCATCCTGCATTTGTTGGTCTTACTTTTCTTTAAACATTACCTTGTCTTTAACATTCTTTGCATTTTGTTTATTTTGTTCCTCTTTTTTAATTCTTTCTCCTTGCTTTTCTGTCCATTAACATATCCATCATCATCATCATCTTCTGTTATTGTGCATAACCTTGGTTGAGTATACTTGCAAAATGTGTTTGTACAGTACTCATATATGTCACAATCAAAAGGGAAAGAAAAGTAAATAAATAAATATAAATAAAAAATAAAATAAAACATTATCTTGAACTCATTGGCATTGCTATAGTTACTCTCGAATGATAATATCCAATGTTGACCGTATGCGGTGCAACACCTGATTGGATGATTCAAAGTTTTAAGAATATATGTTCAGGTGGTCAGTAACTGGCCCAAAGGCTTGACAGTTATTGACCAGGCAATAAGTGACCACAAAAACTAGACAACCACAGTAATCACTGGCCATACATAAATAGGCTGACCGCACAGGAGGTAAACAAAAACTAGATGACAATCATGCTGGCATTTTCCAGTACATGTCCGCCTCACATGGTCCGATTCCAAACTAGACCACTAATTACCAACCGCGCTGGATAAACGTGTGCTGTTATTAGTCGGCTGTTTATCTTAAATAGCACTTTGTCAAAATTACATTACCAAATATTTACTATCAGAGTTGAGGGCGCCAGGTTGTTATTCGATGGGTGCCCTTCAACTACCAATATCATAGTTTACGCATTCCTCTCAGCTTTTTTTGCTGCATTTGTGAGGTGTAATATAATAAGATAAAGTTAGTGTTAAAGGCAATATGTCGAATCTTCCTGTAGTTAACAGTGGATAAGCCTAAGACAAGGTGCTGTACTTAGCTACTCAGTATTTTGCTGTTACTCAAGAATTTATCTGGGACTAAACTTTTTTTTTTTAGTAAAGAAGATTTTTATTCGTTGACATTATAGCAATATTGTATTAATTATCATTACCCATCTCATACGTTGTTGCATAGGCATAACAAAAGAACCAGTAACTCCTAGCACTATAGTACAGTAAATAACACAACTCCATATATGAGACAACTCCATATATGACTCAAAATATAAATATAGCAAGTATGTAATTCTTATATGTCATTCTGCTTCAGATTGTAATAACAGTAGAAATACTGCATTGTATTGGTGCTAATACATTATAATAATAATAATAATCCTATTTTTTTGTTTGACTTGATATTGATATTATATTTAGATTTATTTTTGAGAAGTTTTTTCTTGGCTTGAAAAGATTACTTATGTCCACCTTGTGATGGGTGATCTTGTATTTCATCACATATCTTTATATTATATACTGTATTGTTGCTAGATATATTTATATATAATGTTATCAGTAAATGTTAAATCTCCCTATGTATATTTGATTAAAACATGGTTATATTTAGCAAAAATTGCCTTTGCTCTGAACAATAAAGTACTTGTTGAGGGAACTACTTTTCTTGAGAGCAGGGTTTGTGTTAATGTGTTAACCGATTCAGACATACTATGCGCAATAACACAGCTTGGATTGTGATTAATTATTTAACAATATCTCATTAATAAAACCAGAAGAGGCTTTAATTTTTTTAATTTTTTTTTTTGTTGGGGTGGGAGGGCGGGTTCTGAAAGGGTGCAAACGGGTGTTACATAGGTGAAATTTAATAGAATCCTAATCTAATTGTCTCTGAGAAGCGGATACATTCCCCTGTGCTGACTGCTGAGATTGCTAATACAATACGATTCCAAAAGTGTTTCCCCCACCCTGTTAATAATACCTTGGATTTCCCCATAATTGGAACAAGTACATTTTGATATGTACTGCAGCTTTTATTGCTTACTGTACATTTGAAAGTACAATATTTGTGCCATGGAGCTAAAACCCTGTTGCACCATTACTTCTGCTACCTAGTAACTGGCATTATAAAGTATAAATATTGAGAAATTCAAACTTATCTCTTCTTTCATGCATACCTTCTATATGTACATTTGTTCTTTAAGTGTTCATTATTTGTGCCATGGAGCTGGAACTGTGTACTTCTGCTACCTAAGGCTAAACCAGCTTTACTACAAATTGAATGCGTTGTCCAAAACACAGTTGCCATGATAAATCTTGCATCAGAAACCTGTGAGAAATTTCTCAGGTCTGTGAGATATTTGATTATGACCACTGTGCCCGATAATGTACTCACTTAAATATCCAGTTCTGGATATGTAATACTGAAATTGATTTGTGTTATCAGTTCTATGTTAGATGTAAAACATGTTTGCAAATATTCTTGTTTTTGGGGGTTATATAAAGCTATAGTATGTATGAGTGTTTTCAGTACATTGTTTTAAATGAAGCAATTATAACTAAAAACAAGTTTGGTAGGCAAAATCAAATGTTAATTTTGAAGTTGTTTGATTTTTGTCATTTGTTTCAAATGTTTGCCAATATGAATGAATTCCTTTTGATAAACGTTATTATGTCATTGATTCGAAGCATTTTAATTGTCCGATCTAGTAAAATATTGGTTACACGTTGATGCCTTCTGTGTGTGATTCATGGATGCAGCGGAAAATATTGCAGGTTTTTATTTTCATGAAGTTAAAATTTACAGCCCAAGTGTGAAAGGTAATTAGGAAATCTAACCACTGTGTGCACCCATGCATTACAAATTCGATTAACAGACAAACATTTGTGAAGTAATTGGATTGCGATGTCCGAATCTAAACAGAAATTATGCTTTTTATTACTTTCTAACAACTTCACTGTTATATCTTCAACCGTGACATTGTAGAAATCGGTATCTTACCATTTGTATTACAAAAACAAATTGACAAAAAAACAAGAGTTAATGTATTTTATACAAGAATGTTTTAGCGATTAGTTACTGTTGGCATACTTTTAAAATGTCTTTTATTGCAATGGATTCATTTATTGGTATATTAAAACCATACTTCAGTTACTATTAGGAAATCCCTACAGTGTATGTACTAAATCTTATGAATTTTAAGTGTTTTTATGTCTCTTTTTGTTATAAAATTTGTGTTATAGTGTGTGATAATTGCCCTTTTAGCATTAGATTTCATTCTTTATGATGTTTCGCCAGTTATAAACTTTTAATTTTCTTTAATCTTGTCATCTGATTTCCTAAATAGCACCTTTGATCCAAAACTTATATAAGCTGATTTTTGTTTTTTGAAGACCAGAATAATTAACCGAAATTGAACTTTATTTAGGTGTTTTTGTTATTATTGTGTTTCATGCCATTTGTTAATTATGTCCTACATTATAGGTAAGATGTTCATTTAAGAGAGTTTAATGATGTTTTTATTTAGTAAGGATAATCAGAAGTATGTATGTATATTATATGAATGGGTATCATGACAGGTGTAATCTCCTTGTAGATATTATAAATTGAGTATTTTAAACAAAGAAAAGTGTGTTCATGTTAAAGAAAAATGTAAAAAAAAACATACAATAGCAATTTATATACACAATATGAAGGAATGTGTGCTGTTGAAAACTACACTAAAGTATAGCTGCTGTTCTCGAGGCTTGAACAAAGCCTCGCGGTTTTAAGCGAACCTGCTCACTTTGGTGAGTGAATCGCAATGACTAGTACGTTCGAATTACGTAAGTGTAACATATAGTGCCCTCTACGGCCTAATAATAATTATCGTTGTCAGTACTACTATTCAACTAACTGTCCAATATAGGAATACAGATTTTGAGAATAGGGGGTTATGTGCGAAATGGCATTAACATAGAGGGCAGTACAGGTTCATTCCTGTCCGATTGTGTAGCTTTACAAGTCGGTCATTTACCGACTTCTACAAAAAAACGCAGGTCTTATACATTGCTTGTCTAGATAGGCACACACTGTCGTATATTTCTAGAAAGGTGGTTGAAATATTTTATCTGCTCAACTCCAGTGTACAGTGTATCAGTTTATCATTGAATTGTTCAATTGCTTAACAAGTTCAAACTTAAATATTAAGTCTCATTTTGTTGGTTTTCTTTTGTTGTTGTCTGTGTCTGATAATAATTGCAGCTTTAGGCCAAATAAAAAAAAGTATTAGTTTCTCATCCCCTCACGCATCCATTTTCTCTGCCTCACCATTTTTTTAAAATTTTTTTATTTCTTTTATTTTTATGAAATGTATGAAAATTTAGCTAACTCACATCAGTAAAATTCCTCTCTCATCGTTCGTGGTAGGGGATACATATGGTGTGAATCATGGCTCGACCTTCTTTTATTTGCTTTCAATGTGTCTACTTGGTAAAAGTGAGAAATTAGTAGCTGTTTCCCATCAACCATCTTGGATTTGCCATCTCGGAGTTTTAAAAAAAGTTCCCTCATTCTCTTTTTTTCAAGATATTAAGGTGAGAAACTACTTTTATTTTTTTACTTGTCCTTAAATATAAAATACAGTAATTGTACTTCAAGGAGTGAATGCTGACAGGTTGTAACTATCTTCTACTCATATAGTGGACAAAAATTAAGCATATTCATAAAGACTATTACCCCTTTTTCAGTACCATGTTTTCAGTGCATACATAATGATAATTTGACCCTATTTTTGCTGAGGGGTGATTAGAGGCAGTGCATTTTAAACCTAAATGGATATTCATGCTTTTCCACTGTATGAGGAGATTAAAATAGTTCTTACCGTGAGTTTGGTTTACATAGAATCTCTACACTGTCGCTACAGTGTTCCCCGACGCAATCTGGAAGGCTCCCCGATTCGACCGATCAATCAGCATCATCGAAATCTGTCGCCGATAGCGTGTAGCGATCGTATGGAAACCATATCAATATATATCATCATAGCGCCACCTATCTGCGCCTACTGAGGAAGAAAGATCATTTTTTCAGTATTACGCGCTTATTCCACAGACGCACGTGTATTGGTTCACGTTAGTCGTTTTATAGGACTTTAGCAACTATATCCAAGGGTCGGGGCTTAGCGCAGCGATCCATTATTTCAATTAGCTGAAATAATATTCGTTCAGTTCACGTTATTAGGGAGATTTCGCAACCTTACGAAAACTGTAATCAATTCATATTCTTGACAATTTATACTTTAAAGAGATCCTTTATGATCCTTGATTCATGCAAAATGCATGAATCGCTTACGTTGTGACAGATGCACTCTAGGGGGAAGGGTTGTCTAAAAAATTGATGACGCAACCGTATTTGTTTAAATAGCTGTATTGTGAACCAAGATGCATACATTACTTAATTGCTATATTACTAAGTTCATATTCCCCTTTCGTTCGCATTAGGCCAATGTTTACATTTCCATTTATTAATAATAATTGTCGACTTGTATAGCGCATATTGTAGGGACCTCTATGCGCTTGCATTATTTAGATAGCATGCTTACACTAGTTGCACGGATTTGCTCTTTTAGCGTTTCATATTTGGCATCATCCCCTATGCATCGTGTGAAATTAACGATCCTCATATTTGACCGTGAGTTCTAAAACACCATGTCATTAAAAGACACCTCAAGTGGCATGCATGATATAACGTATACCAAGGCATAATTAGTTCATCAAGCCCTTTCCCACATTCACGATTTTTGCTACGACAGAGCACGATTTTTCAATTTTGAAAAATCGCAATGGCGTCGTCGAAAATGTCGTGGTCAAAAATAATTCATCGTGTTGCATCGTACTGGATCTTGATGATGTCATCGTGATAGAACACGATTTTTTTGGAATGTTAAAAAAAAATCGTGCTCAATCGTAGCCGTGAAAAAGATCTTGGTCTACCGCAGCGGCATCGTGTGAGTGGCATAACGTTGTCGTCGTTTGTCGTGACTGTGTCTTGTCCATTCGTACTGCCAACAACACCTACGACAAGCCAAGACGTCGCTGCGGTGCTGAGACGATTAGATACGATGCCACACCAGGATACCATCAAGACCGTGGTGGTTTATATCACGTGGCTCTGTGTCAGAAAATTTTTTTCAACACACTGAACAATTCATTGCTCACTTGGAGGAAGTTTCTGAAGCCTCTTCGGGTCTTTCCTATTTAACTCTACTAGTAAGTGTTCATACTGTCTAAAATATGGACGACGTAAGAGCCATGGCTGTACCCATACACTTCGTTTAGGCTTATGCATTCGACGTGACCGACGCTTACTCTTGATTATCAAAACTGTAGCAGCCAACAAATTTTCTTCTTCTATAGCAGCAGCTTGCAAATATTGATGGTGTTTGAACAGTGCGCTTTTTTGTCATGTCATGTGATGTTTGTTTTTGTGATGTGCGTCTTGTTAAATCGTGCTTGCGTCTTTGTAAAATCGTAGTGACGTCGAATTAAAATTTTGGTAATTCGTAGTACGTCGTCAAAAATCGTAACTCTATCGTTATAATTCGTTAAAATGTCGTCGCACTATCGCATTAGTGCCTTAATACATCTTGACGGCGTCCTAGTAGCGTCTTGATGAAACGTAAATCTTGAACTTTTTGAGTACGAATCACTACGATAGAGCGCGATTTTAAAACTTTAAAATCGTGCTCCATCGTAGCAAAAATCGTGAATGTGGGAAAGGGGGTCGTACATTACTCGGGATACTCGTTAGTGGTTTTGTAATCCACGAGTTTGGTGCGAGCACCCCGAAACGAGTACGAGTTAAGTACGAGCGCACCGAGTTGGTTACGATCACCAGGAACATTTTATTGGAATGTTCGTACTTAACTCGTATCTAATTCGGTAAAACTCGTTACGCTCGTAATAATCCCGTAAAGCTTGTAATAAATTCTCTGCTTCGCTCGACGATCCGCTCAGAATGCCACAGTCAGCAGACGGCGTCGCGTAGTCGAGTGACGGTCGTACGATCCGACGGCAGATCTACCGGTACGGTATCGTATTTATACATGGCGTATTTACACCCCACCGCAACGCGACGAGGTACGTGCAACAGCTCATTCAACGACGACGATCTGGACAGGTCATCGACTGCCACCGAAAATCAGCAGACTGCGTCGCATCGTCAGATGCGTAGGATGGGTTCGACGATTGACGGTTGCCTTAACATACGTTTATAGGCCTATTTATCCGCCACTAGATCTACTGATAGACTAACATATTTTTTTTCCGAGTATTAGTACTGTGTTAATTATATTTATAGTTCACTACAGAACAAGGAAAATTCAATAGAATCTGAGATGATTTCCGTACATGCGCAGTGAACCATTTTAATCCATGAGCTCGAGTTCTGTTGAAAAATATTGCTTATTGATTGCTACCATTGCAATTTGATTGGTTGAATATATTAATTCATGCGCAGAGCAACGCAAAGGCGGAGTTTTTGGGCACTGTCCTCTTCATTGTGGAAATATTATCGAGATTGTACGATAATATACAACATTTTCGATTTGTTAGAAGGAAACGATAGGCCTACATAAGTAACTGAGTTCGTTTTTACAATGTTCTAAATTTACACATAGGAATGGAAAATATAACGGTAGCGAGTCCTGAGCAAGAACCAGAGCCTGAACCCGAGGTGTTACCTGAAACTGAGCCCGAACCATCAGCTGAGAGCTCTGGGGCTGAGCCTGTACCCGACTGGAACACAGCTCGCGATTTGTGGTCCTGGACCTGGCAGTTACACATCTATGGCCTCGGATGTACGTTTCTAGCAATTACACTTATCAGTTATATGCGCCTCCATGTTACTTGTCACTCTAACTTCGGAAAAATTACGAACGCGGTTGCTCTGAGACTGATTCTGTTCGTATGTTTGTTATTAACGACACTTTTCCGATCATTGAGCTTATTAATTGATCCATACGGCTCATGCGACATTATATCTACCTTAATGGTGAACATTTTGTGGTCCCTAACTTTCCCTTTCATGTCAGCCGGGCTTAACTTGCTTCTCTTTATACTCTTGGAAACGACAAAAATGACGAGTGGACACGATCACTCTAGAAATATGCTGATTCTCGGCATTGGAACATGTATTTACATCATCCTAACGTTATCAACGGATATTATTGTGTTCACAATCTCCCCAATGCATGGTCTCACATTGTTCTGTCAGCTCATATTTATCGTCTGGAGCACAGTGATAATGATTGGGTATTGTTTTGTTGGCTATCGAGTCAGGAGAAATTTAAGGAACTCAATGTCAGTGAAGAAGTCTGAAGACGACGAGCGACGGTTGACCCGATTTTTGCGTCTTGTTTTTGCGTGCGCGTTCGTTGGGCTTTGTTTCATGGCTGCCCAGCTTTACTCCATATGTGGTGTCTACGGTGTGTACTCGTCTTCGGACGACGAAGTGGAACCGTGGCCTTGGTTGATATTTCAGAGTTGTATGCGTGCAGCTGAAATCGCAATCTGTTGTCTGATTCATTCCCTCGTCTCTAACGACAGTAAATATGCAAATACGTTGAAAACATTTAAATTAAAGATATCTACTAAGTGGAACTCAATCATTAAAAGCAGAAGTACAGTCGTTAGTCCGTTTACGGAGAATTCCACTACAACCTCCACCGCCGTGATACCACGAAAATGATTAATCGCCAAAAATACTGGGCTAGGCTATTTCACGACCATTTAAAACAGATAGACTTTTTAATCATATTTACAAAGAGTAACCCTTCCAGTAGGAGATGTTTTTTTAGTCGTAAGAAATAATCTTGTGCTGACAAAGTATTGGAACCGGGGACCCTGCGATTGGAAGGCAAACACCAAGTATCTCCACTACGACTTTGTTGGCTACAAGGCCAGAGAAATTCACTTTCGGTGAAAAAAAAAAAAATTGGAAGCCTCGACCACCGGTTGACCCGTTTTTTGCTTCTCAATTTCTCGTCTGCTTTAGTTGTGTTGTTTGATGGCTGTCTAGCTTTACTCCAATTTGATGTCTTCTTCGGTGTGTAGCTTACTTGTCTTCGGAAAACGGCGTGAAACCGTGAACTTTGTTGATATTTCAGATAACTATGAGTATAACTGAACTCACTTTCTGGGCCCATTCTTCGCACGATAGTAAAATATGTAAATACGAAAACATTTATAAATTACAGATAATTACGAAGTAGAACTGAATTGTTAAGCAGTAATTATAAGCATCGAATTTCCAAGAATGATAGGCCTATGTGTTGTATGTTTTTGTGTTTTAGAGATTTTTTTCCGAGAAACTTCAATTGAGAAATAAACCAGTAAGACACACACACCTTCCTTGCCTGGACACTTTTGTCAAAAAGACAAATTCTCAGCTTACAATTAAATCTATTTACGTCTCATTGGGAACGGTTGAGCAGTTATGCAGAACAATGGCCTATGTACTTTTACTGCATGGTAGAAAACCATGCAATCCTGGAATAAATAAAATGAATGATTGGCCATTTATTCGGAGTCTGTATCCGCGATGTTCACGCTCACGGTAATTAATGTTGAAATTAAAGCTTTTATTATGCAAAAATAATGTACAATGTTTGTAATTTTACGAGCAGGCTTATTAAAGTTTAAACAAAAGTAGAATACGGTGTTGCGCTATTATTGTTTTTTTTTTTATGCAGATCGGTGAGAGGATGAGCGTAGGGGCCTACATGGGGTATTGTGCAAGGACTGATGTGTTTAATTTCCTTCTAAACCATTAGGTTTGTAATTGCATTATTAGACATTGGCCTGACCTAGACTTCAAAAAGATCTAATGATTTTCTATATAAATATCACTCTCTATGAGACTTATTTTAGACTAATGGCAGTGGCGGATTCAAGAGTGGCAATTAAAATTCAAATAATTAGTTGATTCTTTTAAAACCTGCGGTAGTCTATTCCATACATTTGCACCAGCATATCTAAAGGAAGTTTTGGTTATAATATTTAAATCTACTTTTGGAGGCACGATATTAAGTGAATCAGCATTTCTTGTGTTATACCCATATCGATCAAATACCATTTCTATTTCATTACAAAGTCTAGGGGAGGTGCAGTGCCGTTAAGCCGGGCACTCACTGTACCTGCGTCGCGTCGTACGACCGGCGCATCACGAATCCAACTCCGCTCCCTGTGAGCACTAGACGACACGACGCCGTCTGCTGATTGTCGGTGGTCGTCTGAACGGATCGACATTAAAAAACGATCAGTTACGCGCGCGCATCGTCGCGTTACAATTCTCCATAGAATCGCGTCGGCCGACGACCGTCGCGCCGCAGTGAGTGCCCGGCTTTAGCTTTACAACATTTAAACATTAAACATGCAATAATATAATCCCGTCGTTTTTCAAATAATTTCCAAGAATTTTTTTTATTATTTCATCTTCATGTATTGTGTGATAATCAAAGTTATTTGTGACTATGCGTTCTGCTCTTTTTTGCAGTCTATGAATTGTTCCATTTTTATTGTTAGTATTTTCCCCAGACTGAAATGCCATAATCCATACCGGTACATGGCTGTATTGTGGTCAAGTATAATTTATTCAACATTATTTTTGTTTAAAGTGTATGGAAGTTTTGAAAGTAAATTTAATTTTGAACTAACTGATGTTGTTATGTATTTAATGTGGTGTTCCCATTAATCTCCAAGACGGATATTAAAATTATGGGGCGGAACAACATGTTTGTTTTTTTATAAGCATACTTTTGGTTTTTTCGATGAGAGAATCCTATAGAATTGGATTATCTTAGATGTTATCTATAATAATAGTAGCGGTGTTATCACTTTCCCTCGTGGGCCTATCGCGATTACTGGTCTAAACGAGTTGGAGAACTTTGGATATTACCGTCAGCAATTATTCAGATCGGTAATTCCAACGTAAACATGGGAAGGCTAAGATAGTCCGGTCTTCTTTTTGTAAAGTGGCATCCCCGTTATGAGATCCACTCGCAGTTTATTCGGTTGCCCTGTGACAGGACTCGCTCATCTCAAGTACCGTACATCGTTTTTGATTGCGCTGGGGTGGGGTATTTTAGGATATCGCAACATAAGCAAGATTTTGGTTATAATAATACAGTGGCCTACAAACACAATAAAAGATGTCTCAATACCAAGCTGGTATTTATGATGTAAGTACATTTTATTTCATACATAATAAATAGCATATCATGAACGTTAGTTTGGTCAAAGTCGGTATTTGGATGAGCTAGCGTGAATTAGCAACATAACAGATGTATAATCGTAACTCTTCGGCGAGATTATAGGCCTATGCATGCTATTTTTTAATAGATACAGTATCACCCAGGTTTTTTAGCGACGTATTTGCCAGCGGCGTTGCTACTACTGTAATATACATTGTGTCACACAAGGTTCGACACATCATCTCTCAAAACTTAAAGGAGCACTATTATTGAGGTTTAGTATCTCACCATAGTTATGTTAAGATGACTTATCCTTGTAAATATAATTATTGTAATAACTAACATGTCCATGGCCCACTGGACGACGCACGCGTAGGCCTAACTGTGAAAGGAATGATGACCATAGGATACTAAACCTCCTTTGAAAATGTTCGCTGGCTCATAAAATGAGAACAAAAAGGGGACCACGGAAATGAGGTGATTGCATAAACGTTCATGTTTCATATCGCCTCCGGTTATACCGTATACGCCCTTATATAGACTTGTCGTGGTCGTGTCATTCGTTAGGCACGAAATAATGGCATACAATACCCAACAATGATTTAATTGTATGTGATTATTATTATACAGAAATGAGTCAGTACAAAACTGATCAAATATTTGTTCTGTATCATTATATCTATATATACTGTAGTTACACACAAGGGGAATGCTTTGGTTTATGATTACAGCACCTCTCCAGATAGCACTCAAAATTAAAATTCGAATGTAATTTTTTCCCTCTATTTTGTTTTTTTTTAATTTTAAAAAAATTCCGGGGTTGGGTGGGGAGGGCGGGGCTGGTTTGACCCCCCTCTC